TTAAAACAAATTTTTATTTATGAATTAATGTTACGGTATATAAATAAACTTACTAGAAATTCGAATATATTTTGGAATAAACAAAATTTGGACATTCAATATAGATAACTCAATCTACAGGTTACTGTAGCTTTGTGCACATATTGATTATTACAGATTTAAATAATTAGAATATWATATATAAATTAAAAATATAATTTTCTAGATCAATTTTAAGTYGTCACTATTTTTGTTAAACAAGGAGCCAATGCCAGAGCCAGAGGTACCCAAACATGTAAAATAAAAGATATCTAAGATATAATATATTAAGATTTTTTCTATTGATCTTAAACCCGGCGATTAAGGCCATTAGTTGTTGTAGGGGTTATGAACTGTGGTAGGGGTAAGGTTTTGGTACGGTAGGTTGTTTTTACGATTGGTACGGTAACTGGTAAGTAGTAAACACGTCTATGTATGGCAAGGTTTTTAACTACTATGAACCCGGGTGGTCACCCCATCCGGGAGCTAGTTGCTGTGACCATTACTTCCCAGTCGCATTTCGCGATTGGTAGCGGCCAACGCACCACGCTAAGCTACTATTAAGATTTTAATCTTTACCACAAGTATAATAAAATATATTAAAATATTATAATTACTGCATGCACAATACATTGGAGTGAAATACTTACAAATTGTTTTTGTTTATATAACAGAGTAATTGTTTGGTTTTAATTGTAACAGTTTATGTGTCATGTACTCATGTTTTGCGAGAACACTGAACAATAGAAATTTAAAACAATGAATACTAAAAATTAAAACGTTTAATTATAAAAAAAAAATAAGTGAATTATTAACAGTTAATTTCTTTTATTCAATACTTGATGCTTCCGTTTAATGTTTTTTACTTCTAAGAATGTTTCGTGTTCAGTAAATTTTTAGATTTTTTGCCCATGAAAAAAAGTTATCGTCATACCTATCACCTTGGAAATTATTACGGTGACCACGTACATTTCTGCAGACGGCATTACAGTTTAACGTATAAGACGTGTCAAAGTGTAGAATTTTGGATTAATTATTAACATAATATATTATTGAATAATATTATTTTATATGAATAATATTAATTAAAAACATAAAGAATTAAATACTAAATAATAATAAACAATTTTTTATCATATATGATTTACGATTGTACACGTATATATATATATACTATATGAGATATACATTTGTGCACGGGAGAACTATATTTTTTGAATTTCAGTAATTTCAACGGTCTGGTTTTAGATTCTGAGCGAAGCGAGGAATGTATTGGTTTTACAATGATGTTTATTTCTTTTCTTTTTTATTCTGTAAACACTTTCTCCCTCTAAATTTGCTCAAAAGTATCAAGTTTAGCATCTTTTTGAAAGGTAATATTTTTTAGCTAGTACTTTAGAAAGGTCATTTTTCGATTTTCGAAACGGTATTTGAAATAAAAGCGGTTAAAGGAAATTAATTATTCATTAATATTATAGCCAAGTAGAATCGACAGTATATTATATTCTTATACTACAGTGTTGTAGCTGTAGACGAATCGATATGCTGTGATAGTTTTTTAAATTATTATAAAAACTATTATTATTAGTGTGGGAGTTGTAAAAACTTCGTTCCACGATCCAACGTAATTTTGCGCGTGAACTCAGTCATTGCCTATTGGATTTTGGACGTAATACGTGCTCACATGTATGACGCTACACTGCGTATTAAACACGCATATTATATGGAGACGCAGCGGTAAAATAAATAATAATATCCAATAATAATTGACTGACCAGAGCATATCGAAAAAAATCAGCAGTCCCCGTTGAATATCACATTGTCGCGTATATCGTATGTTTATTGTATTGTTATTTATTAAAAATGCTATTAGTCGATATGACGTAAACCTCCCATATCAACTGCGTGTGGAAACCACAGACAAGTAAAGACGTTATATTCGATGCGTCCTATTTGCATGTTATGCTGAAAAAAAGAAAATGAAAAAACTGTATGCAAGGCCCATGGACAGCGAAAACGGTTATTCACAGCGTGCTCACGAGGCGTAGGTAATAYATATAGGTAACAATAATGCTGGTCCTGATTTCAATTACCAATCGTAGCGCATCGCCTCCAGGTCGTTGGTCGTTCGCATCCTATTTCTCCTCTTTTTCCTCCTGTTGTTCTTCCTAGCGTCTCGAAGATGACGACAGTCCTTGAAAAATCGGTTAAATTTTGCTTGCCTCCCGTTCAAATTATTATAATAATATCTGTAGAATGTAGATAAAAAAAAATCTTTCGGAGATATCACCTAGAAAACAATTCTATGCTATATAATTGCATCGTTTTGAGAATTGAACGAACGAATTTACGTTGAATGTCCAGTGTTTGGGTTGGTAAAATAAATGTTGAAGGAACTTAGTTCACTTATTTGCCAAAAAAACGTCCCTATCACTTTATATTCAATCTTACTTTTAAATGATAAAGGAGTGGATAGCGTTATTATACGGCGTTGAATTTTGATACGCGTGCAACCATGTATAAACATATACAAACAAATACCAGTGTGAAGATTTTTTGTTTGATTTTATTCTTCGCGGTCTTGAACAGCCGGAAATGGCATAGAATTGGAACTATAAAATTATATACCATATAGTGATAATCAAGTATATTATCCATTATATCTTGAAATGTATCAACATAGAAAATATTTTTCATTTACCTACATAATTATRAAACAACGTTTTTGAAGATAGTAGCCGTTTTACAATTTATTTATCTGTAGTTTGAAATATTATTCTTATATTCTATT